GAGGCTCTGTCCCAGCGCTGGCTCCCTGCCAGACATGGTCACCGAGAGCTAAAGGGGGGGAGTGGCCCTCTCAACCCCCCCCCCACGTTCCCTCCACCCAGCCCCATGACCTCAGCCCCTCAGGAATCCCGGCCCCAGAGGAGGGGGAAGGATCATTGAGAAACATCAGCTGGGGCGGGGAACTGGCGTTAACAGGCCAGAGTCCGGACGCCTGGCTTCTCCCCCAGCTCTGGGAGGGGAGGGGGCTGGTGGCTAGAGCAGGGGGGTGGGGAGCCCCAGGACTCCTGGGTTCTCTCCAGGGCCCGTGCTCTCACACTCGCCCGCTGTGGGGAGGCAGAGCTGTGAAGCCGCCGCCCGCTCATTGGGGAAGTGAGAAACCCAGCAGGGTGGGGACGGACCCCGGCCCCTCGTGTGGTTTGGGTTCCTCCCAGGAAACCTCGCCCGCCTCGCCCAGGGGGGTGAACGCGGCTCCCACCCTCTGCCGGGGGCACTAACCCTTCGCTGCTGAGAGCCGAGCCCAGGAGCGGGGGAAGGGTGGGAGCCAGGACTCCTGGGTTCTCTCGGAGGGGAGTGGGAGCGGGTGGGTCAGGGCTGTGGGGGGGGTCCCTGTGCCTCAGTTTCCCAGCATGGGGTTCTGGCTCCGTGATCCTGCACAGCCCAGCCCCCCTCCCTTTCCCACCCATGGCAGAGGAATTCGGCCCAGAGCTGAGTCATGGTGGCTCCCTGTAAACACGGCCCCCGGCCTGGAGCCGCTTCCTTCTAGGGCAGATTCTGGCCCCCGCCAGCGCCCTGCTCCCTCCCCATGCCAGAAATAGAACCCAGGCGTCCTGGCTCCCAGCCCCCTCCCCCAGCTAGGGAGAGAACCCAGGCGTCCTGGCTCCCAGCCCCTCCCCCAGCTAGGGAGAGAACCCAGGCGTCCTGGCTTCCAGCCCCCCCCAACCACCAGTCCCCTCCCCTCCCCCAGCTAGGGAGAGAACCCAGGCGTCCTGGCTCCCAGCCCCCCCCCCCGAGCCGGGGCAGAACCCAGGAGTCCGGCTGCTTACGCAGGCTCCCTGCAGCTCAGCGCCCCCTAGTGTCTGCACTGGGGCTGGGACCTGAGGGGCCCTGCCTGGGGGGGGCAGGAGGGAGCTGTGGTCTCTGGCTCCCCCTGCTGGTCAGATGCAGACATGCAGGGATCATGAAGGGGTCGGGGGGGGGGGGCAGGAGCAGAGCTGCAGGACACCTGGGTTCCCTTCCTGACCCTGCTGCCGCCATCTCCTCCCTGGGCCCTGCCTCGGTTTCCCTGGTTGGGAAAGGAGAACAATGATCCTGCCTCTGTCTGTCAGATCATGAGCTCTTTGGGGACAGGGGCATCTCACCCTGTGGGTCCGCGGGGGGGTCCACATGGGGAGGGGGCCCCACCTCAGTTGGGGGGGAGGGGAGCGTCTGTGTGTGTGTGTGGGGGGACCGATCTCAGATAATTAGCACTAGTTAATAATTAATTACTCTTTTATTATCCCAGGAACAACGGGACAGCAGCTCCCTTGTGAGATGGGGGCCCTGGAGCCCCCCCACCCTTCTCCCCTCCCCCGGCCCGGTCCTGGGGTTACCCCGACAGCCCCCCAGCAGCGGCCAAGCGGGCCTGGTAGCGCCGGCGCAGCTCCTCCATCTTCACGGCTGGAACAGAAACAACTCACGTCAGTTCAGCAGCTGCCCCCAGCCCCCCAAGCCCCGCCGGACGCCTGGGTTCTCTCCCTGCTCTGGGAGGGGAGTGGGGGCTGGTGGGTCAGAGCCGGGGGACTGGGAGCCCGGACGCCTGGGTTCTCTCCCTGCTCTGGGAGGGGAGTGAGGGCTGGTGGGTCAGAGCAGGGGGGACTGGGAGCCCGGACGCCTGGGTTCTCTCCCTGCTCTGGGAGGGGAGTGGGGGCTGGTGGGTCAGAGCAGGGGGGACTGGGAGCCCGGACGCCTGGGTTCTCTCCCTGCTCTGGGGGTACTTACGCAGTGTTGCTGTGGGGCTGCTGCCTTCCTCGCCGCGTCTCCGCTCCGCCGTCTGCACCGCCTGCTCTGAGGTGTCGCTCAGCTGGGCCAGCGCCAGCAGCTCCTGGGGAAGGCCCGGGGGGGGGGGGTGAGTACTGGCCCTCAGGGGTCCCGCCACATGGACCCTCCCGTTCCCCCCCAGGGACTTTGCAGCCCCTGGCCCTGCCCCCGCAGGGTCCCCCCCACCAGGGATCTTGGGTCCCTGCCCTGGAGCTGGAGTCTCTGAGAGACCCCACCCCTTGGAAGAAGAAGCTTGTAGGACCTTGCTGGGGGGCTGTCATTAAGGCCCCACACCCACATGGAGGGGACCCATAGAGACCACGCCCCTTCTCCAGTAGCTCCGCTCCTCCCCATACGGCTGAGGCAAAGGGCCCCTCCCCTAGGGGCGTGGCTAGAGCATCCCCACCCCCTTTGTACCTGGGTGCAGAGGGTGAGCGCCTGGTGCAGGTGCTGGGCCAGGGGCCCACAGGGGCTGAGCCGTGGGGCGGGGCCACGGCCGCAGTGTTCCCGCAGCTCCGTCTCATACACCTGCCCAAAGGCCGCCATCAGCTGGTGCGAGTCGCAGGCCGCCAATGCAAGGCTCTGCAGGGCCGTGTCGGGGGCCAGGGGCTCCGTGCCCCCCCGCAGGGAGCAGCACTGTGGAGAACAGGATCAGGCTGGGTGCCCCACAGGGCTGCCTCGCCCAGGAGAGAACCCAGGAGTCCTGGCTCCCAGCCCCCTCGCTCCAACCCACCAGCCCCCCTCCACTCCCCGAGTTGGGAGAGAACCCAGGAGTCCTGGCTCCCAGCCCCCTTGCTCCAACCCACCAGCCCCCCTCCACTCCCAGAGTTGGGAGAGAACCCAGGAGTCCTGGCTCCCAGCCCCCCTGCTCTCACCCACCAGCCCCCACCCCCCTCCCGGAGCTGGGAGAGAACCCAGGAGTCCTGGCTCCCAACCCCCCCCCACTCC